ATATGAAACAAGACAGTGACATTCAGTAGTAAAACAGAAAAAATCAAAATAGAAACCTGGTAGAATCTCATCAAATATTGTTTAGGGTAGAGGGTATTTTATTAGCTGATCCAAAATCTAATATGCTTGTCAAGTATATCCCTACTTTATCAGAGGATGAACCTAGCTATTGGTACACTTTGCTGTAAGATTGCTGATATTTAAAAATGTGTTTAAATGTTAGTAATGAAGATCAGAGAGAAAGGGAAGGAGGGAGAGAGAGAGAAAATAGGGAGAGGATTATTAGACCCATACTGAGTTTTGTGAAGCTCCTTTTTTTTTTTAATGTTGGACCATAGTTTATTCCTGCAAGTCACATTGAAAAGAAAAATCAGCTAACATGGGGGTGGTGGGTGTATTCTGTTTTTAGAGTCTTGCACCACTAAGGTTCTCCATGGCACAAATTATACCCCTTTTGTTGTCATAATAGATATACATAAGTTTTTAAAATTTAGAAGTGCCATTCTTTTTTTTTAACATCTTTATTGGAGTATAATTGCTTTACAATGTTGTGTTAGTTTCTGCTGTATAACAAAGTGAATCAGCTATATGTATACACATATCCCCATATCCCCTCCCTCTTGAGTCTCCCTCCCACCTTCCCTGTCACACCCCTCTAGGTGGTCACAAAGCACTGAGCTGATCTCCCTGTGCTATGGGGCTGCTTCCTACTAGCTATCTATTTTACATTTGGTAGTGTATATATGTCCATGCCACTCTCTCACTTCGTCCCAGCTTACCCTTACCCTTCCCCGTCCCCGGGTCCTCAAGTCTATTCTCTACATCTGTGTATTTATTCCTGTCCTCCCCCTAGGTTCTTCAGAACCTTTTTTTTTTTTTTAGATTCCATATATATGTGTTAGCATATGGTATTTTTTTTTCTCTTTCTGACTTAACTTCACTCTGTATGACAGACTCTAGGTCCACCTACCTCACTACAAATAACTCAATTTTGTTTCTTTTTATGGCTGAGTAATATTCCATTGTATGTATGTGCCACATCTTCTTTATCCATTCATTTGTCGATGGACACTTAGGTTGCTTCCACAACCTGGCTATTGTAAATAGTGCTGCAATGAACATTGTGGTACATGACTCTTTGAATTATGGTTTTCTCAGGGTACTGCTGAGAAATTATGGTTTTCTCAGGGTATTGCTGGGTCATATGGTAGTTCTATTTTTAGTTTTTTAAGGAACCTCCATACTGTTCTCCATAGTGGCTGTACCAATTTACATTCCCACCAACAGTGCAAGAGGGTTCCCTTTTCTCCACACCCGCTCCAGCATTTATTGTTTCTAGATTTTTTGATGATGGCCATTCTGACAAGTGTTAGGTGATACCTCATTGTAGTTTTGATTTGCATTTCTCTAATGATTAGTGATGTTGAGCATCCTTTCATGTGTTTGTTGGCAATCTGTATATCTTCTTTGGAGAAATGTCTATTTAGGTCTTCTGCCCATTTTTAGATATTTTGATATTGAGCTGCATAAGCTACATGTATATTTTGGAGATTAATCCTTTGTCAGTTGCTTCATTTGCAAATATTTTCTCCCATTCTGAGGGTGGTATTTTCGTCTTGTTTATGTTTTCCTTTGCTATGCGAAAGCTTTTAAGTTTCATTAGGTCCCATGTGTTTATTTTTATTTCCATTTCTCTAGGAGGTGGGTCAAAAAGGATCTTGCTCTGATTTATGTCATACAGTATTCTGCCTATGTTTTCCTCTTATAGTGTCTAGCCTTACATTTAGGTCTTTAATCCATTTTGAGTTTATTTTTGTGTATGGTGTTAGGGACTGTTCTAATTTCATTCTTTTACATGAGTTTTGTAGAACTCTTAAACAAATGGTCCAGTAAAAGAGAAAGAATAGGAAAGAAACTACCAAAAAGTAGGAAAATCAAACAAACCAAATAAATTCATGAGAATGTGGTATCTGGGAAGTAAAGGTTACAGTGTTTCAAAAGGACTGAATAGTCAACCTTTATATACTGGTGGGAAAGGAAGATGAGAACTGAAAAGTGTCCAGTGGATTTATCAACAAGAAAGTCAAATAGCTACTTGAGAAGGTTTGGAAGAGTCATGAAGGTAGAGTAAGATTGGAGAGAAGTGGAGGTAGACAGGGTCATGGAAATGGTGTCTAGAAAACAAAAAACAAAAAACTCTTTGAGAAGTGTGTGGACAATAGCAGAATATGGATGGCACCAACAGGGGAATGTGTCATCCCAGCCACGGATTGTTAGGTATGTATGGTTAACGTAGACTTCCAGTGGGAAGGATTTTATGGAGAAAATAAAACTGATGATTAGGAGAAAAGATTTGGCAGACTGAGGTGAATACCTGAGAAGTCAGAAGTAGAGGAGTGTTTGAATCCTGATATAAGTTTGGGTGTTTCCTCCCACTATGAAAGGTGGAAAGAGAGAGATGGGTGTAGACTGAAGTAAGCTTTTTAGATTTGGAGGCAAAAGAACATGGGGGGACCCCGTCAGATGATTTCTACTTTCTCAGTGAAACAGAAGGCAAGATTACCAGCTGTTAGAAAAGCAGGTGGGCAAAGAAGGCAAAGGAAATTTGAAAAGCAGTTAAAAAATTAATTTTCTAACAAGTAACATTTTAAAAAGCAGACTTTGAAAACATTGTCTGGAAGGAGGGAATGTGTGACAAAGTGTCTTATTGTCTTTGTGATTATGAAATAAGGCATTTGCATGCTGTTCATAAACTTCAGCCTTTTCTCCACATAATGACAAAGTGATAAGAATGTTTAAAGGGGGAAGAGATAATTTTACCTGGACTGGGCATGAGGCATGCTGGGAAGACATCATGATACAAAGTGGCCTCTACTCTAAGCCATAAAGGACAGATAAAACCTGGATACCAGACAATAGAAAAACCATGTTCTTGGCCTAAATAGCAAAAGCAAACGCTTGAAGGTAAAAATATTTGGGGGATCCTGCTGTGCCATACTCATCAGGGGGCACATGTGCTCTACTTGCTTTCTTTCCTCCTCATGAAATAGTGTGTGTGTGCGTGTGTGTGTGCATGTGCGTGTGTGTGTGTGTGTGTGATGACAAAGTAAACTTTCTAAAGGTAAAGGTGATAATGAAAAGAAAAAAAATATATATATATATACCATTAAACATGATTCTTTCCCTAGAAGGAAACTCTTGTCCATCTGAAATTTATTTCAAAATTGGGAAAGGAGGAAACTAAATGAATTGGGACTTACTGCTGTTGTTGTTGCCTGTTGCAGGCGCCTAAGGGCAACATACAGTCTTTAAGAGGGAAGAAACCACAGAATGTTAACTGAATTATTGTTATCATTATTATTATTTTAACTATAAGGACTCATGGTGATATAATTTCTTTTTTTTTTTTTTTTTTGGCTGAGCTCACCTTCAGACCAGACTCTCTTTCAGGGGCAGGGCTGTCTTTATATTTCTTTCAGTACGACGTACACAGCTCAAGTACTTAAAATGGGTTGTATTAAATGTATGCATAATTTAAAAGAGGGTAAAAGGGAAACATGGCATTGCAACAGTTTTTCAGGCTCATGTATTAAACGGTGGAATTATTTTGTAATCTGAAAAATTAATTCTCATTGCATTTATTGTTGTACCTGACTGTTCCTGACTCTGTGTGTAAGATATTTTACCTATTTTTCCTTAGCTACAACCTCAATACAAATTATTTTCAAGTACATGTGTTGAATCATCTTTAAATCTATGCAGATATTATATATTACATTTCTTTTATAAGCTGCATATTTCTTCTCATTGAAATATCTAGCAAGGTAGAGAGTCAATAAACGCTTATTAAAATGATCAAATGGACATGAATATTTATTAGTGACTTATTAGAGTGACATTGCCAGCTGCTTATACCTTTGAAGCTGGGAATACTACTCTGGGATAAATTTCTAAAAAGATTTATATTAAAATCTCATGGATTATATATATATATATAAAATCACACATGTAATTCAGCTACTGAAAACTACAGACAAGTTCACCTCAAAACATAGATTTAGTATTCAAGGCAGGTGATTGGTTATAAAGTCTTTTTGATATTTACATCATCACTTTCTGAACAAATGTTTACCAGGAAAATGAAGAGTTATATAATGCAAACTTAAAATGACAAGCTTCTGTAGGGATTACATTACTGTAATGTATAAATCTGCCATTATCTAAAATTAATTGTGCACATGTCAAATATTTGTACATATTTATGTGTACATATACATAGGCGTGTATTTATACTCTCAACTATTTCCTGTCATTTTAGACAGATATGAATTCAGTTAGAGTTTATAACAAGGAAAGATTTTTGTGGAAATATTGAAGCATATTACAGATCGAAGAAATTGTTGTGAAAAACAAAATCTCGTATTTTGTATATATACGTAAAGTTACATTATTGAGAGCTGCATGCAGACAAACTCACCCAGAATTACTATCCCCAGCTTTTCCACTTTTTAAAATGAAAGGAAGCTAGAGTGGTCTGAAATGTCTGCAAGTAAACCCAGAGGGCAAATTTGGTCGGGTTCTTGAAGCTTTATGGTGGTGAGCTGCTGGGCATTAATAACATCACTGGTCAGGGGAAAACTTAAACACATGGATTCACTCTCAGCCATGGTGTCAGAATACTGACTTTTTTCCTTTTGTCCTGACCAGGAGATCTAGAGTATAAAACATAAAATAACACCACATTTCATTCTCCAGAAGAGTACATTAAGACTCCCCTACCTCCAGTACAAATTTAACATGTACAGTATGACTTAGTGTTTCAGTTTTATTTCACTATAACGTACAGGCAAAAAGCATCATGAAAAAACAGTTCAAAAGAAAAGAGAGCATTTTATGACTTGTTACACAGAACAGCTTCTCTTCGCCCTGATCGCATTATGGTTTAAAAGGATTTCTTATCAAACTCTCACTATAGCAAAGAAAAAGAAAGCTTCTCTTACCAGAGTGGAATAAAGCTTCAACCTTGCTATAACATTTTCTGCAGCTTTTGTTTGAAAAGGCAGACCCAAAGCGGCTTTGTGCAAACAACTGATCTGGCTGATCTCCAGTCCCTGCACAAAAAACAGTATAATTGGCTCTCAAAAAAATGTTGTAAACATTCATCATGATGGCAGTTGCATGTTGAATCTAGTCACTGTTACCCTAGTAAACTTTTTCCAAACAGGCCAATTATGTTTCTGCTTTCAATACTTGCTGTTTGATTTTCTCTATTCATTGCTGAGATTAGTATCTTTAAAGAAACCATGAATTTGTGAGTGTCAGTTCTACTACTATGTCAATACATTTGGGTTCTGAAAGTGTGGTTCAAGGTTTTTTAAAAAGCATTTTAAATCAGATGACGTAGATAAATACGTTTACTTGGCATCTATTGTGTCTTCCTTTTGAAATTTGACAATATTCAGTCCCTTATTTATATGCTAATGAGAGATCAGTATTATTAGGTCTCTTTCATTCCTATTTGATAAAAGTCAGGTGACCACTCCACATCTCTACTTTGCAAAGAAACCACATCAGTAATGTCTACAACATACCCTAGAGTCTGAGACCAACTATGTTGGATTTCTAAGTCTTGTATTCCACTGTTCCTCTTCCCAAACCTTCAGAGGGGCCCAAACACAATCATATCCTTTAATTTTTATGGGAGCAATGAAGGGTTACACAGCTGGACTTTTTTCTTATTTTTAAACATATAATATTCATGAGAGCATTAACTGATTATAACTGTGAGAGGCATATTTATTACCAAGAAAAAGTGAACACTAGATCAAAAAATAAGCTTCAATGTAAAACAATCTCAAACTGTATCATTTCTAACAATGATCTGAGCAATACATTGATCTTACAACCATATGAGTATGTGATCTTTGCCTTGCTTCCCAAGTGTATGAAGCCTGGTTAATAGTTATCAGCAGTGCCACCATTTGAAAAATATGAATTAACTGCATAGAAGGTTGTGGGGCTATTTTGCATTTTTATATTTGATAGTTTAGTTTTCAGCATACAAATTATACAAGTATATCAAAACAATTTATGATTATACAAATTATGATTGTATAAATCTCTAAAAATATAAATTATGACAATTTATGTTTCCTAGAAGTAAAAATCTAGATATTCTACAAGTGTAAAATTCTATGCATTGCTGAGCCTTTAAAAGTAACATCTTTAACTACATTTAAAGAACTTAAAGCCTTGAAAGCAGAATATTCCTTATTTTTATCTGTAGATATCAGTGCCATTTAAAAATTTTAATTATGATTCCAAATACTACAGACGGATATACATATACTACTCTTCCAAGAACACAGATGACTCATATTCTCATTATGTTACTTAGAGAGACAGAGTGTGGAGGAGGAAGCCCTTCACACTGTTGGGTTTTTTTCTTTTTTTTTTAAGGTTAGTATCAGTGAACTGTTATCTCCCTTATTATATAACATTTGCCTTTATAAAATTCCCCACTAACACATTCTTATTTAATTCTTTCATCAGAATAGTGAAGAGGGCATTAAAGCTCTCCATTTTACACATGAGAAAAATAAGGCTCATAAAAGAGAAATGATTTGACAAATTACTGTAGTAAATACTTAACGGTAGGCTCTTCTGGTGTTGTTCAACTAGGTCTTAAATCACTTCTTCTAAAACAGTATTTCCAAGATTAAAAGAAAAGTTTGTGTTTTCAATTTCTTTCGAGTGGAATTCCTGAATCATATAGTAGTCCTCTTTTCAATTTTTTGAGGAATCTCCATACTGTTTTTCATAGTGGTTGAACCAACTTACATTCCCACAAACAGTATTACAAGGGTTCCCTTTTCTCCATATCCCTGCCAACACTTGCTATTTCTTGTCTTTCTGACAATAGCCTTTCTGACAGGTGTGAGGTGACACTATTCAAAAAGTTATATGCACGCCAATGTTCATAGTAGCATTATTTAAAATAGCTAACGTATGAAAGCAACCTAAAGAAACAGATTAATAAGGAAGATGTGTATATACACAATGGAATATTACTCACCATAAAAAGAATGAAATTTTGCAATATGAAACAAAATAGATGGACCTGGATAGTATTATGCTTAGTGAAATAAATCAGAGAAAGACAAATATTGTATGCTTTCACTTACGTGTGGAATCTAAAAAATAAAACAGAAGAACAAATACAACAAAACAGAAACAGGGAACAAACTAGTGGTTACCGAAGGGGAGAAGTGTGGGAGAGGGAGACAAGGGGGAAAATAGGTGAAGGGGAACAAGAGGTACAAACTACTAGGTATAATATAAATGTTACAAAGATGTAATGTACAGCACAGGGAAAATAGTCAATATTTTATAATAACTTTATATGGAGTATAGTCTATAAAAATATCAAAACACAGGCTTCCCTGGTGGCGCAGTGGTTGAGGGTCCGCCTGCCGATGCAGGGGACGCGGGTTCGTGCCCCGGTCCGGGAAGATCCCACATGCCTCGGAGCGGCTGGGCGCATGAGCCATGGCCGCTGAGCCTGCGCGTCCGGAGCCTGTGCTCCGCAATGGGAGAGGCCACAACAGTGAGAGGCCCGTGTACCGCAAAAAAAAAAAAAAAAAAAAAAAAAAATCAAATCACTATGTTGTACACCTGAAACTAATATAAGTCAAATATACTTCACTCTAAAAAAAAATAATTTGAGACAAAAAAAGTTTATGTGCTTTAGTTTGCTGATTTGAAAGAGGGAATAAACATTTAGAGAATTATTATAATGTATTTTCAGCTGTAATACACTGAGGAAAGAAAAGGTCTCTTCCTAGGCCTAATGATTTTGGAAATGATTAGCAAATGAACTTTGAAAAGATAATTCCTTGTGATTTAACTTTAAACATTTTTTTTAATTTAAGAATTACCTCTTAAGTATCTACTAGGTAACAGATTATTTAAGTTCTTAGGGTACAATAGTGAACAAGATAAGTATTTTCCCTTTCTTTATGTTATTTTCTTTTCTTTTCTTTTTTTTTTTTTGTGGTACCCGGGCCTCTCACTGTTGTGGCCTCTCCTGTTGTGGAGCACAGGCTCCGGACGCACAGGCTCAGCGGCCATGGCTCACGGGCCCAGCCGCTCTGCGGCATGTGGGATCCTCCTGGACCGGGGCACAAATCCATGTCCCCTACATCGGCAGGTGGACTCTCAACCACTGCGCCACCAGGGAAGCCCTATTTTCAAACTTAATTACAGTGGACTGGATTACTTTAAATTTTCCTCACTGAGAAAATAGTAGCCACTACATAGGAGTTCCCAACTCTCCTAATCCACCCTACCGATCTACCAAACTCCTCTAAACTTTACCCATGAACCCTTGTAGATGTTCAAAGAATTTTCTCATGCTAATCTCTCTCATTCACATCATTTACCCCCTCTGCACTAAATCATTCCCATAATTTAAAATCCTGTTTTAACATTTCCCTGTATTTAAGGATAAAACCCTCCCACCAACAATGTATCTCTTCAATTCAATATATTTGAATTGAACTCTCTCATGTCAATATATTTCTTCATTCGAAAATATCTCAAAAGATCTTTCTCACTTTTCAGTTCCTTCTCAGCTAACACTTAGCCCATACTCTCAAGCCACTAAAATAAATTTCATCTTACCTGATCACTCAATACTTTCTGAACTCAATTAACTAATTCCTTCCTGAAACATTGTTTTCTCTTGGCTTTAGTGATGCCATATGCTTGTGATGTTTATCATGGTTTGCAGGCCTTTCAATTTAGGTTCATTTGCTGGCTTCTCCTCCTTTGCCTGAATAATACTATTTGGTTGGTCCTGAACTCTGTTCTCTTCTCAGTCTATATTTTCCTGTAGGTGTTCTCATTCAGGTCCATGGCCTTAATTATTATCTATATCCTTTTGACTACCAAATTTATTTCTGCAGCCTGACCTTTCCACTGTACTCCAAATGTGACTCTCCATCTGCTTATGGATCTCAATTCTTGGCTCTCTAACAGGTATTTTAAAATTCAAACATGGCCAGAACATTGATTCTACCATGTCATTGCAATTCTTGCCTTTCTCCAGTTTTTTAAAATTATTATTAGTAAAATTCACCAATTGTTTAAGCTAAAAACAAAAGGGTTTTTAAATTATATTTATTATGTTAAAAATGCATAACATAAAATTTACTATCTTAACCATTTCTAAGTGTACAGTTTGATAGCATTAAGTATATTCACACTATTGTACAACCATCTCCAGAACTATTTCAACTTGCAAAACCAAAATTCTATATTTAGTAAGCAACAGCTCCCCAACAGCAATGACCTATTGCTATATACAATAATATAGAGGAATCTCTAAGTAATTATGCTGAATGAAAGAAGCAAAACAGAATGAGTCCATACTGTATGATTTTTTTTAACATCTTTATTGGAGTATAATTGCTTTACAATGGTGTGTTAGTTTCTGCTTTATAACAAAGTGAATCAGCTATACATATACATATATCCTCATATCTCCTCCCTCTTGCATCTACCTCCCTCCCACCCTCCCTATCCCACCCCTCTAGGTGGTCACAAAGCACCAAGCTGATCTCCCTGTGCTATGTGGCTGCTTCCCACTAGCCATCTATTTTACATTTGGTAGTGTATAGATGTCCATGCCACTCTCTTCATTCCAGCTTACCCTTCCCACTCCCCATGTCCTCAAGTCCATTCTCTACATCTGCGTCTTTTTTCCTGTATGATTTAATTCATATAAAATTCTAAAAATGTAAATTAATTTATAGTGACCTGGAGACTAGAAAACGGGGTGGTAAAGCTTAGGAATAGCCAAGGGTCATAAGGAACCTCTTGTGGGTAACAGATGAGTTCATTATCTTGATTGTCTTGATGGTTTCATGAGTATATACATATGTCAAAACTAATCAACTTGCACACTTTAAATACGTATAGATCAATTTGTGTCAATTATGCTGCAATAACATTTACAGTAAATGTGTTCATAAAACTCCTGAAATTAACAAGAAAGTGATATTCAATCTAATATTTAAAGGCAAATATATTTGTACAGCCATTCCACACA